TGACAGAACCGGTATGAAAATATTCAAAAACAGAGGACATCATAACACCACCGGCTCTTAAAAAAGTGTAGGGTATTTTGACAACGTCTCTAAAACATAACCCATTTTGATCGGTCCTATGAATGACATAGACTCGAGAACCCATGTTTTTTATTGCATTTAATGAAATAAAATAATCGCATTTTCTTATCAAATGCGTGAAAATATTCAAACTCAGAGGACATCGATGTGCCACAGCCCGATGAAAGTCCTACTCGATCTATCTGCGCTCCAACATGCTGAACATCGTATCAGCATTCACTCTATTCCGTAACTTTAATCTCGAGAACCCACTGTTTTTATTGCATGTATGATCGCTAACTGAATGCAATTTGACAGAACCGGTATGAAAATATTCAAAAACAGAGGACATTATAACACCACCGGCTCCTAGAAAGTGTAGGGTATTTTGCCAACGTCTCTAAAACATGACCCATTTTGATCGGTCCTATGAATGACATAGACTCGAGAACCCATGTTTTTTATTGCATTTAATGAAAGAAAATAAGCGCATTTTCTTATCAAATGCGTGAAAATATTCAAAATCAGAGGACATCGATGTGCCACAGCCCGATGAAAGTCCTACTCGATCTATCTGCGCTCCAACATGCTGAACATCGTATCAGCATTCACTCTATTCCGTAACTTTAATCTCGAGAACCCACTGTTTTTATTGCATGTATGATCGCTAACTGAATGCAATTTGACAGAACCGGTATGAAAATATTCAAAAACAGAGGACATTATAACACCACCGGCTCCTAGAAAGTGTAGGGTATTTTGCCAACGTCTCTAAAACATGACCCATTTTGATCGGTCCTATGAATGACATAGACTCGAGAACCCATGTTTTTTATTGCATTTAATGAAAGAAAATAATCGCATTTTCTTATAAAATGCGTGAAAATATTCAAAATCAGAGGACATCGATGTGCCACAGCCCGATGAAAGTCCTACTCGATCTAACTGCGCTCCAACATGTTGAACATCGTATCAGCATTCACTCTATTCCGTAACGTTACTCTCGAGAACCCGCTGTTTTTATTGCATGTATGGTCGCTTAATGAATGCAATTTGACAGAACCGGTATGAAAATATTCAAAAACAGAGGACATCATAACACCACCGGCTCCTAGAAAGTGTAGGGTATTTTGACAACGTCTCTAAAACATAGCCCATTTTGATCGGTTCTATGAATGACATAGAATCGAGAACCCATGTTTTTTATTGCATTTAATGAAATAAAATAATCGCATTTTCTTATAAAATGCGTGAAAATATTCAAAATCAGAGGACGTCGATGTGCCACAGCCCGATGAAAGTCCTACTCGATCTAACTGCGCTCCAATCATGCTGAACATCGTATCAGCATTCACTCTATTCCGTATCGTTACTCTCGAGAACCCACTGTTTTTATTGCATGTATGGTCGCTTACTGAATGCAATTTGACAGAACCGGTATGAAAATATTCAAAAACAGAGGACATCATAACACCACCGGCTCCTAGAAAGTGTAGGGTATTTTGACAACGTCTCTAAAACATGACCCATTTTGATCGGTCCTTTGATTGACATAGACTCGAGAACCCATGTTTCTTATTGCATTTAATGAAAGAAAATAATCGCATTTTCTTATCAAATGCGTGAAAATATTCAAAATCAGAGGACATCGATGTGCCACAGCCCGATGAAAGTCCTACTCGATCTACCTGCGCTCCAACATGCTGAACATCGTATCAGCATTCACTCTATTCCGTAACTTTAATCTCGAGAACCCACTGTTTTTATTGCATGTATGATCGCTAACTGAATGCAATGTGACAGAACCGGTATGAAAATATTCAAAAATAGAGGACACCATAACAGTACCAGCCCCTAAAAGTGTAGAGTATTTAAACAAAGTCTGTATTATACGAGTCATTTTGATCGGTCTTTTCCTTCAATTTGACTTGAGAACCTATGCTTTTTATTGCGCGAAATGAATGAGAGTCATCGCATGTTCATTGTTCCTATTGAATGCATTATAATATGCAAAATCAGGGGACGTCGATGCGTTTCAGCCCGGTGAAATGCCCAGTTGATGAATAGCTGTTTGGCTCATTTTAACACTGCGTCGGCATTTACACAGCTTCCGAACGATATGCCTGATAAGAGAACATGAATTCTTAGGTATTGCGAGCTGTGGGGCCTGTCCCTGTGTTCATACGCTATACCCATTCTGGCATAAAGAAGACATTCTCAGCTTGTAAAGATGTGTAGTAAAAATAGGTTTTTGGTCTTCTCATTATGTTTAAGTGATATTTCATTTCAAGTTGCGTGTAGAGGGATTTATTTTCAGTGTTTTGTAGAAAATAAGGGTGAATTAGCTGTTAAAACCAACACTTATATAACTACAAGCTTGGATAGTAGTTTCTTGGGTTAGAAGTTTTCACTACAGGGATGAAACTTTTGCACTACAATGACGAAAACGTCATCAATCGTCATCAGACATCGTTGATTTTCTGAGAGAGCACTTCCGGCAGAAGAAAACGCATTACACAAAATAATCGAAGTGTCTTCACTTGTTATTTATTACACTATGGTTTTACCTTAGCGACCCGCAAAATACGAATAAGAGCTACAGCAACACATAAAGCGTATTCGATAGCTTTTTAAAGCTCTTTCGCCAACTTCGCCTCAGATATGACTTCGGGTCTATGGCTTGTGTACCATAGAGTCCAAACAGCTAAACGGACGGATTTTGCCGAAACATTTGTTCTGTAACAACCTATGATTCAGTGAATGTGTATGATATTCATGTTATCACCATCGTTTTTGTTTCGTCGAAACACGTCGCATGGCTTACAATTTGAACTTAAAAACTTGAATAGAAAACTTGATATCAGGTAAAGGTCATGACCTGACCGGAAAAGAACCTGCTGCATATGGATCGATCCGTGTTACTGAGCTGAACACACTCCAGGGCCCAATCTTACCAATGCCGTGAATAGGATTTGGCAGCACTGGCCGGAGTTTACGGCACTGATATCAAAGATATCCTTTTTATTTACATCCAGCCAATCTTGTCCAATGATTTTGATAGCGTCAATGATTATGAATGTTGCCTGAACGAATGAATAAGTGAATGTGGAATAGTTCTGAATGTTACCAAATGCCGTGAATGCGCATTTACGGCATTTGGTAAGATTGGGCCCAGGTGCTGTCATCGCTCTACAACGTCTCCATCAAAAGTTGTTGTCGAAAATGTGTTAGAGACCTTTGATGACCTAATGACTGACCATTTCAGTCACCACTGGTCATTAGCTGCACCTTATCTCTAAAATGAACAAGGTGCCATGGCTACAAAAGTATCTAGCTCACACACCTATTTGACCTGACCGCTTCTCAGATGTAAAATCCCAGATTCATGAACTGTTGGCACTTATAATCCCATTCATTACACCAAATTTCAGACTTATAGGAGTCAGGAGATAATCTGTAGGAATGACAAGATTGCAGTTTTAAGAGGCATTAAAACTGAACTTGACACGACATTGTGACCTGACCTCAGGTGACCGCTGCTTGATTTTTATGCACGATGCAAAATTTATGTACAATAAGATATACCGCTGCTTTCGCGGCGCTGCGCGCCGAGGTTTTTCTCCGGGCACACGAAAAAAAAAACCGGGAGTGTGGCTAAAAACACCCCTACCCATCAAGACGAAGACCGGAAACCCGACCCCCCCACTAAAAAATCCGTGGCGACGCCCCTGCCTCCAGCTGTGCGCTCCGCCCAAAAGCCGTTTGTGTTGTCTTGTCTCTGCAGTAGAGACACACAGACTGATGGATTAACACAGGCAATCGGCCTGCCCGTGCCGCCCCCGACGCTGGGACACCACCGAGTGTAAGTGCAGTGACTCGCCCACCCAGGCGAGAGGCAAGGTCGGCACGGCGGAGGAGTAGCCACAAATTATACAGGTATGAAGATGAGCTGACACTGCTGACAGCTGTTGGACACGGAATGGGGAGCACGACACGGGGAGGTTTGGTTCTCACAATTATCTGGGAAGGACAGGAGCAGTGATGCCGATTGCGTGCCAAAACTTATAACTGAGCTCAAACTTTTAAGGGTACCTAATGCAGCAAATTATAATATGTTTGAACAAATATTTTATGTAATAACCTAACAATGATCGTTGGCAATTCGATAACTAAATCAAGATGGCCGTGTTTTGCGCACGGCATATCAAACACATCTGATGTGAATATAATGCAGCACAAATCAGTAGCTCCAGGACACAAATTATCATATCCCAAACGTATAATAACCCAAGAATGCAGAGCGTCGCAGTTCTTCCCTCGGTCGCCACGACCCGTGACGCGACATACGGCATGCCTTTTGGTAAACCTGCCGTCTGGACGCCGCAGAACAGGCAGTAAGAAGGAACTATTTAACATCTGGTCAGTGCCCCGTGCACGTGCGGAACTTGGCACTATAAGGTCACCTCAGAACGGCGCCTCTCCATTAGACGACTCCATTGCCGGCCGTGCTGTGTTTTCAACGAGCCATAGGTCAATAACCCGTAATAAATATGCTATGCAGAATAACTGCGTCGCATCGTTGTAAAGAAAATGTGTATTTATTAGACAATCGATTAGGCATGTCACTCAACAATCGACATAAACTCAGCTTGCTTGTCATAAATCCGTTAGCTTGTCAAATATGTGAGACGCATTTGCCTCTTGAATTGTATGGTAAGGTGGAGCCTAAACCTAGCGTTTATCTATAATGTAGCGGCTTGGCACAAACGAATTCCGAGCTAATACTAAACTCAAGGCGAGAAGTTTTTCCTACTTAGTCAACAACAGCAAAATATAGGAAAATATATGTACGTTTTGGAGTCATTTAGGCTTTTAACAGAGGTTTTCCGGAAAGAGCCGTTTGATGACTTACCTGTCAATGGTAAAATATCCATCCTTACCTGTCAATGTTTGGCGTCTTCACTGGTGTACCGGGGTTGAAGCAGCTCAAGTCGTCTGCTCGCACATTATTGGCCAGAAGCACCACAATATTGGGCTCAGCCGATGATGAGATGAACACGCCGAGTAATACTAACAGACCAATAACAGTGGATGCCATCGAGATCAGAGAAGCAGAACGGACAGACGGACGGACGGACGGACGGACGGAGATGCAGTAGAAACGTTATCACGGACACAAATGGTTAGTATTCCCTATTTCTGTCGCTTATAATTCCACTATAGCACTATATCTGACACAAATGACACCACTAGCACCACCGTGACACTACCGACACCACCGTCTGCACCACCGTCACCGCCGGCACCAACTGCACCACCGTCACCGGCACCGCGGCGACTCATCTGTCACCGGTGCCGCCGCGGCTCTCCGGACCGCGAAACCGGTCCTCAGGGCCCGCTCGACGCGCGTCCTGTGCTCCCACACACTCTCCGCCGCATCCGGGCCGATCACACCTGACCGCAGGCTCTCCCGGCGAGGTCACGGTCACGGTCAGCCGGGTCACAGAGGTCACCGCTGTCAGAGAGGTCAGAGCGCGCGGCGCGGCGGCGGCGGCCACTCCCATAGCGGAACGGCCGCCGGTTGAGGCCGCGAGGCGGGCCGCTCCGGCCCCAGAGCGTTCACCTCACAGCCTTGGATCGATCGGGCATCCTGCGTTTGCATAAAGACCCCGCCTCAATCAGACAGCCATTGCTTTTGTAAGGTGACACGCCGATCACTGCGGCTGTGTTTGGGACGCCGCTCGAATAGATTTGCATGCGAAAGCAGCTGAATAGGAGATCGCGTAGCCTCCTACACCCCCGAAATGACATTGATAAGACCGATACCCTCTGTAGGTACGTCACGGTGCTCTAAACAGGGTGACGCGGCATAGGCTGTTGGGAAATCTGCATCGAAGATGCAAGCTCAGCCCTCGGTGCAGTTGGGACATTTGCCCCTTCCACACCGTCCAAAACAAAGGGAATGTATCCCTCGAAAAAGAACAACTTGAAATATTCATTTAAAAAGTTAGTGATAAATTTTAACTTGTCAAGCAATGATATCCGGAAGTGAATCCTGGAACACTTTTGAAGCTGTAGCAAGTTTGCTTTTGGAGAGAAGGGAATAGGCCATAGGGATGTCCCCGCAGCGTCAAATAGGTAGGTGCCTATATTGCCTATCCTATTGGATCATCCTTTGCCCAATTCATTGACATTTTGTTTTTATAAATTTAGTCCGAACCATTTAAGTGGAAGCCGGAAGGATGTACAAGGACAGAGCCTCCGCTAAGCGAAGCTTGTTAGTTGTTGCGTTGACCCTGCCCTCTACCTACCTACTCTCCGATCACGCAATTCTAGTATAAATATTCTATTTTTCTACCTACCTATGATAGAATTTAGAGTCCAAAGTTTAACCTTCGCCCCAGTGGGGGGGGGGCATATGTTACCACCCTGTCGCGTTTTTCGCGTGTAAATAAAAAAGCGCGGCGCGTAGCGCCGCGCCGCTTGGGGTAGCTTTTTGTACATCAATTTTGGACAATGTGTGAAATTTTTGACCCCAGGTCATGTCAGGTCAGGTCACCAGGTCAAGTTAACTGACCAAGCCTAAAAAAAAGTTTGCAATCATGTCCAGCCTGCAGTGTTTGTCAGAAAGGTTTCAAACTTGGTGGATTGCATGATGTTATGGGCGCCTACAATTTGTATATCTCGGATTTTTCATATCCGTGACCTAAGGTCAGGTCAGTGGCGTGACCTTACCATTATAAGGCAATGGAGAAAAATGAAAATGCCTCTAGATCCGTGTGTACGCATGGGAACAGTCCAAATATTTCAGAATCACAATGATTTAGTCCACTCGTGATGACCAAGGTGTCATTTTTGCTGATAGCCTCTAGACAGGTCATCTGAGGTCACTTGAGGCTACAAACAGTTTTTTGCCAATAACTCGCGATTGGAAAGAGATAGAACGCTGGGGATGGTCTCATTGTGTTTGTCTTGTTGAGACGCATCGACTGATATGCAACATGACCTTTTCCGGTCAGGTCATGACCTTGACCTGAGGTCAAATTTTCAAGTTGACCTTTCAAGGTCAAATTATAGTTCATTCGACTCGTCTCGGCGAGGGGAACACGATTCTGGCAATAGAAATGCCGTGGCTTTTTGTGGTCAAAAGCTATTGTCGAAAAACTCTTTTCGTAAAAACAGCTATTTTTGGAGTTTTTGCCCTCTGGAGGCTAAACCGTTGACCTGAGGTCAATATTGATTATGACCTTTTCAAAAGAAGAGCTCAAAAGCTATCGTTTGCTGTTCCATGCGTTTTTCTAGATACCACAGTTTCTGAGATAGCGGCATGTTTTCTGAAAAATATAATGCAATTGGCAAATTTTGACCTTTGATGACCTCTGGTGACCCCAATATTGCTTAAAGGTGAAAAATGACCGAAATACTTTCAAACGTACGCATTGAGAGCTATCGACTGCTTTTTACCGCGTCTTTCTATCCCTCTTAGTTTTTGAGTTAGAGGTGGGTGGTAACATATGCCCCCCCCCCCCACTAGGGCGAAGTTGGCTGAGACCGCCACTGGGGCGCGGGTTAACGTGCGCACATAGCCGCGCACGGCCGGTCCCCACTCCCCTCACTGACTTCGACTGGCTACGGCCTACCTGCTACTATGCCAACCGCAACCATACCTAATGGCTGACAGGAGGCTCATCAGGCGCCCGTCGCGCTGCGAACCCGAATCTGTAACTGTTATACCGAACTGTTATAACCGGAACGCGTGCTACCTCCGTTCCGTCGTTTTCATCCTCAAGATACAGAAATCCTTCTCCTCCGCACCGCAACACCCTACGGGCTGGAGTTGGACAGGCACCTTTATCTCATGCGGGCTGCTCCCTTGGAGTGGCACCGCTGCTCCCGAGGGAGCGCAACCCGTAGCCGGGTGCAGAGAGTGCTTGGGGAGCTGGTCGGCCTGTCCATTTGGACGGGCTTAGCCCCGATGACTCTCTGTCTCTACTTCTAGGGTGTCTGCCCAGACCAATGTCTCCCCCTAATTCCTATCATTCTTCCGGCTCTGAAATGGTCTTGTCAGACCGAAACTGGGCCTAACCCAACGAAGCAAAAACGCGTTCTTTCACCGCGCGGAGTCCTCAGTCCAACGCTCTATCGACCGAGCTACGGGATCGGCATTTGCTCTATGATGCGAATTGCGACATCTTCCACTTTTCATGCCCGTGGCCGCAGACTATCTCTGTGGAATGCAAACAGCAAACAGGGAGCGCATAACCGGCTCGAATCGAGACCTCCTATAAGTGTCGGAGTTGGTTCAGGAGGCCAATGGCGACGTATTTCCAGGGGCGTAACTTTTTGGTTTTCGTTGGGGGGGCAACGCTGTCAGGGGCGCCTTTTTAAGGGCATGGGGGCGCCTCCCCGTGACTGTCTAGAAATAAGTCTTATTTCAGTTTACGGCAGCATTTTTTTTACCATAGCACGTTGTTTTTTTGTGCCGTCGTGTTTTGGCACGTTATGTTGCAGTTTTTTTTTCTGAAATAGCGCGCCAAAAGCGCGGAATTATTTTGAAACCAAATACATTTTGAAAGCAATTTGGGGACCAGAGACCGGGGGCGGGTAGTGGAATTGGGGACCAGGGTAGTGACGCCTTATTAAACAACGCATATGGTAGTTCTTCTAAAGAAACGAGACGAACTGATGAATTGACAAAAAGAAAAGAAAAAACAACTGATAAAAAAGCCAGATTAAAGAAACAAATCTGTAGAACTTTACCCCACGCAGAAGCAAGGGACGTTTTTACGCCTCCCCTTTTAAGTTAAGAGCACACTTCATACTGCATATTTCCGCACGTGTTCTAGAAGCAAACCAGTGGCAAAGATTTGCCCTCATCGAAAAAATAAAAAATTGCCCCCCCCCCCCGCCCGCGCCGGGCCGGGGGGGAGGGAGTGAACACCTCCCCTGCGGTTTTTCGCAGATATCTCAAAACTCTGCGCCGCCATTTTTGGCACACCTGTTCATGCATCTTTTTTACACATGTGCAAATTTCAGACCCAGAGCTCTCAAGGTCAGGTCACCAGGTCACGTCAAAAGACCTCACCTCAGAAAAAAAGTTGCAATCCTCGTCATAGCTACACCGACTGAACGATCGCCTTGAAACTTTCAGCGATTGATAAGAGTAACAGTATGTTCAAAATGTTTATCTCGGAATTTTGATATCAGTGACCTAAGGTCAAGTAATGTTTGCGACCTCTCCATGATAAGTCAATGGGAGAAAATTGAAATGAGCCTTTTTTGGACGAATGGTATTTAGAACCCTCTCAAACATCGTTTCATAGGTAAACATGATACACTGAATCGGAAAAAAATGCACCTGTGACCCCTATGTGTGCCCTTAAGGTCATCTCAGGTCATGAACGGTCACCACCAGTTTTTTGGCTGTAACTTTTGATAAAGGCGTGCTAGAGCGATGAAAACACGTCAGATGTATTCAGCTCGACGATACGGATCGACTGATATGCAACATGACCCTTTTCGGTCAGGTTATGACCTTGACCTGAGGTCAAATTTTAAAAATGACCTTTCAAGGTCAACAAATAGTTCATTCGACGCGTCTCGACGAGAGGAACATGATGCTGCCAAAAGTAATGTCGTGGCGCTCTTGAGTCAAAAGGATTTGCCGAAAAACAGTTTTCGTGAAAACTGCTATTTTACCGTTTTTGCCCTCTGGAGGCTAAACCGTTGAACTGAGGTCAAATCTGAGAGCAGTGGTCAGAAAGGTCTGTAAAAGGGCTATCGAATGCACTTTTCCGCGGCGCTGTAGCTCTATTGATCCCGAGTTAGCCGTTGCAGTTTCCAAAATTGTTGAAATGGCCTACATTTGACCTTTGATGACCTCTGGCGACCTGACCTTTGACCTGACCCAAGAAATGACCGAAGTGTTTCCGTCATTATTTTTGACGCTCTTTCGAATGCTGCTTACTGCGTGTCGCTACGTGGCCCAGGAGCCGAGTTAGACCAGACACCCCCTCCCGCCCGGCGCGGAAGTCGAGGAGCACCAGCCCGGCGCGGGTTAATCCCAGGCTGAGAGCGTTCAAGCCTAGGTCACCCATATACCTCTGTATACCGAGATATGCAGAAGTCTGTGGCTCACCAGGTGATATCAAGTTATCACGAAATGATACAAATTACTCCTGCTAGAGGTGGCAAAACGTGAAAATTTTGAGAACCAGACCCGAACCAGACCCGGCTGGACATTTCTGAAACCAGTCGGACCCGGTCTAAGTTGGAATCGGAACCAGTTGAACCCGTTCCCCATAGGCCATAAGTCAATTAATACAAACCGTTTGTAGAAATCATTAATTGCATCGTGTAAAACAGCCGTTTTCCCACTGATAATACTTATGAGCTACAGTGTGCAAAGGAACATACATGAGCAAATGTTTTCTTTCCATTCACTTCATATTTTGCAATCATATGTAGTGTCCACTATGTATGGTTTATGGTAGGACCCGGTTGGACCCGCCAGAAAATTTCCAGGAACCGGTCTGGACCCATATGGGTCCAGACCGGTTCTTTTAACCGGGTCCTCGGGTCCACATTTTGCCACCCTTTGAACAAGTAGCGTTGGTACCGGAAACCGGAAGCTATCATGACACAGACTCACTGCTATCCCGGAAGATAATTTAACCCTCGCCCGTATAGGGGGGGGGGGTCGAACGGACCCCCCCCCATGGTTTTTCGCGAATAACTCGCGTAACAAGCGGCCGATCGTGACGAAACTTTCAGTACCCTCGCGTTCATCAATTTTACACCTACCCTGAAAATTTCATGACCCTGACCCAAATGACCTTTGACCTGTGACCTACTTTTCGAGACCATGTTTGGCCGGAATCGCGATTCGGCGTATGTCGGCTCGCATTAGCCGCGCGTTTGCAGTCTTTTCGTGGTTTCAAGCGTTCAAACATGTGATATGATGTTGCCCCCATGCATTAGGGTGGGTGTCAAGGTCACCTGAAGGTCAGGTCAGGTCATTGACCTTTGATGACCTCGGTTCACTTTTTCGAGTTTTACATGTTTCTAGGCCAGTTTTTAGAGCTGAATTCGAATTTAGCAACCATATGAACATTTACGAAGTAGTTTTGGTGCCTTCGTAACATGTTACGAAGCTGTCAGAGGCGGTTGCCACCTACTACGAACACCCTTACTGGTTGACCTGACCTGACCTGACCCGACCCGGCCTAAATGCATGAAGACATCATCTGTGATCAAAACTAACATGATATTCGTGATCAGCACCCCGAAAAACCCCATAGCAGCCACACTTTACGACGTTCTAACAGGTCCCGATTTTCCCGACTTTTGGGTCATTGACCTGACCTGCAAGGTCAACCAATGACCTAGGACCTTAAAATTGGGTATCATCGGCTTCCTCTCGTCACGGGCAACACGCTCGTTTTTTCCGCGAAGCTCTAGCTCGATCAGGGGCGAAACGGCAAGGGGGGGTCCAACGGACCCCCCCTTATACGTTCGCGGCTGGAAAAACACCAATACGGGCTAGGGTTAAATTTCGCTTGATGAAAGTTCTCAGCTTTTACGATATCCGATTACATAATTGGCCTCTGAAACTGAGGACAGTAAGATTTGGGGGGGGGGGGAACTTCATCTAAAGGCCTCAAGATCGTGGCAAATGAAACATAAATATAGAATCATGAGGGCCATGAGGGCTAGTCAAAGGGGTTACCTACTATACCTAGTATTGTCAAGATTGGCTCGAGAGGCGTTTTTATTGGTCGATGAGGCTCTCCAACTAGCTAAGTGTGCCGTTTTACCGCAAAAAAATAACAAGGGATTTCCCAGAGGAGCGATTTCAAGACTGGAGGGGCGCATTGATAAATAGTGAGGCGCCACTCAGCGCCAAGGGCATCGCTCTTGACCACATAAATGTCATTACGTTCTAAAGATGGGCGTCAAAAGAGCCTCAAGGGACGTCTTCAAGAACCAATGGGAAAGCCTTCCTTCCTGAATAAGGGTCTCTGTTCTAGCAACAAGTCAACAATGGCAAGGTGTGAACCACGGGACGCCTCAACTGGCACCAGGGGCAAGTTGATTAACTGTTGAGGCTTGAGGCACTGCCCTTTCGGTCGAAGGGAGCCGTAATTAGCAAAAGATTAGCAATGACACGTAATTAGCTATGACCGTAATTAGCTATGGCACGTATCGCTACCAAATTTCAGATATAACTTGGGGGATCTGTTTGTCACTTGACCTGGGAGTTTTAGCTTCCAGTGACCTGAGGTCAGGTCACAAGGTCACAAAACCGGTATATTGTCAAAATAGCACTAAAATGCACTATTTTGTTCATAACAACTAGAGTTCTACATTGATTTGTTGAGACTTGAGACACTGCCCTTTCGGTCGAAGGGAGCCGTAATTAGCAAAAAAAGATGATGTAGGATACCAGTATAGTCAGAGGAGCGCTAACATTGGCTCGATGGGTGCTATGAACCGTTGGGACGCTGCGCCAAGCAAGAGTGGCGCTTTAACAGCAGGGGTACCATAACACACAAGGCCCTGTGGGACGATTACATTGACTCAAGGGGCGCCCTTTAGAATCGGTGCGACACCGTGCAGAGGGCGCCATTCTTAACCACATCAATTTTAATACTCACTGCAGATGGCCTCCAAACTGTCTCGAGGGGTGCCTTCAGGAACCGATGGAACAGCCACCGAAATAGGGGCGCCGCTCTAGCTGCAGTGATGAAATAAGGTATTGACCGCATTGACCAGAGGAGCGCTTCATGTGGCTAAAGGGGCGCGTTGGTAAACTGGTGGGGCGCCACCCCATGCCCAGCGAGGGGCGTCGTACTTAGCAAGGAAATTATGTAAGTCAGAGGAGCGCTAACTTCGGCTCGAGGGGCGCTTGTATGAACCGTTGAGGCGCTAACCTAGCTAAGTGTGCCGTTTCAGCAGCAGGGATGCCATAACACACTATAGCGTGCTATGGCATCTAGGCCCTCTAGCCTCCCCCCCCCCTCCCCGAGGAGCGATGATTATGACTCAAGGAGCGCCCTTAAGAATTGGTAGGCCACATACAATTCATTACTCAGTGCAGAGGGGCGCCAAAACGGGCACGAGGGGCGCCTTCAGGAGCCAATGGGGCAGTCTACGGACTAGGGGCGCTGTTCTAGCAACAATGCTGATAAGGTATTGGCCAGAGGGGCGCTTCATCCACCTGAAGGGTCACATTGATAAACGGATGGGGCGCCGCTCTGCGTGCGGGGGCATTAGTTATTAGCAAAACAGATGTCATAAGACGTGCGTGTTGTCAGAGGGGCACCACTTTGGCTCGAGGGGCGCTTTTTAACCAATGGGGCACGCTATTTAGCTAAGTTTTTACTTGCCGCAAGCGGCGCACCATCCCTGAGGAACGTTACACAAACGACTGACGACTCTCTCGACATGGGCATCAGAGGCGCCCCTATAGACCTCACAGGCGTCTCTAATTCCCATTGAGGCGCCCCTTTGGACTTCAACTGGAGCTCCTCTTTCTATGGGCCTCCGAGGCGCCCCCATTTGGCATGCAGTCTCCCCTGTTTCGTATTGGGGCGCCGTTATGGCCTTAATGGGCGCCCCTTTTTCATGTGGGCGCCCCTATACTATAGATCTCAGAGGCACCCCGAAGGGCCTCAGAGGCCAATAAGGTGCCCCTCTTTCGCATGCAGGCGCCCCTGTGGCCATCTCAGGCGCCCGTGTTTTGCATTGAGGCGCCCCTGAGGACTTCATGGGCGCCCCTCTTTCGCATGCAGGCGCCCCCACGGCCTCAGAGGTTCCCCTCTCACGCATCCCATTTCCATAGGCGATGGCGCCCCCTTGAAAGATGGCGCACGCGCTCCTATGACGCCGCTGGCCCGTGAGGGCGCCTTTCGGGCCTGGGGGCGCCCACCAAGGTTGGGGGGGCAAACGGAATGTTGGGGTGGCAAAATTTCAAGTTGGGGGGGCACCTGCCTCCCCAAAAGTATACAAAGTTACGCCCCTGCGTATTTCAGCCCAACTGTATCCACAATGGCCCTTATTGACCGTTTTTTATTATCTGTGTCTACCTGAGGCAATTGATGCAAAGTGAGTGGGCCAAGATATCTTCTTACCATGTCTTTTTTCAGTGTTTGAGACAGTTTGAGATATCAAAAACCTGTATTGTAGAGACAAATATAAATTGCTGGTAACGTATTGCCCGAAAACTGGAAATAAGTGTCAGATACAACGCAGCTGCGACGTAACAGGTGTGTGCGCAAACCAAATGTCCTGTTCAGTAATAAACATTTATTACGCAGTTGCCAGGCGACCAGCTGTCTCACATGGTCGTAATCCAATTACCCGGGCTCCAGGCACTGCTGGCATCTGATAATCGGAGCTGCAGAACACTTATTCCACATTCGACTTGTTTCCGTGTAAAAGGCACATGGAGTGGACCCCGCCCTCTCACACTGTTAATTTTGTCAATGCTTGTGTCAAATATTGAAAGTTAAGCGGAGAAGAATAATTGATAAGGGCTCACGGCGATACTTAAAGGGACCCTCCCACCTTCAAAAAAGTTAATGAATTGGCATGAAAGTGATGTCGCTCGGTTCAGAAAGAGCGAAAACCAATATCTACCAAATTTCATCGAAAAATATTCACCGGTTTTCAAGATATTAGACTTTTACTTTTGTTTACTTTTTGGGATCTCCGCTGTTCCTAGCGACTTTATTTAAAAGTGCGACATTTGTTGCGCGCAAAGCAGCATATACCACCGCGTGCTACAAAACGTTTTAGTCAAACATTTAAAAATCGTTAGATATCTGCGATGACGTCACACATTCAGAGGGGTATTCCTATGCATTAGCCCCTCTGAATCAAAATGCTGCAATTTTGAAATTCAATATTTCCGATTTAAGGCATTTCTCGATGTTGTGAATGCCGAAACCGGTAATTGTGAGCCAGGGACCCCATTTTGGCTATCTCAACTCAAATCTAATGTTAAGGTGGGAGGGTCCCTTTAAAGCAGGATGATTCATGTTGATGGTTATTTGAAGTCAGAGTATATCATAATTCATTTATTTTAGCCAATAGGGCCAGGAGGAGCCACCTAGGTATTTATTTAAGTTTGTGAAATCGGCATGCATATTAAAAGATTCACACTGGCAGATCCAGGGGGCATTTTGGCCAAATGCCTCCTGCCCCGGGACAGCCGTCTAAGTTGCCGACAATTTGCGTTTTTTACAATTTTTAGATTAGGTAAAACAAAAGGCTTTTTTGATAGAACTTCCTATTTTTTGAACTGCACAGGACTGCACAGGACGGAACCTAAGTTTAATGACTAGACTAATGAGTTTTTGGAATTTCAACATTTTTTGGGAGTACTTAATACCTATCCCCTAGCAGCCTGCAGCATCCAAAATTGTCGTTCTGGATCTGCCAGTGGACAATGGATCGATCCAGTGTAGCGTAATTTTCTGATTGATCACTACAGACAGCATGCTTTTGAAAAGGTTTCATGTTTCTTTAATTCCTCAGTTTTTCTGCTTGGGTATTTCTGTTTAATGAAAAAGATAGACCCTTACCTTGTCAACCCGCACCGCCGCTGGGCTGGGGGTGTCTGGACACCCATCAGCCATCCCTTGCGGTTTTTCGCATTTTTCGTATCTTAAAAACAATGGGGCGGAGCGCCACCATTTCTTGCACGCCTGTTCATGCATCTTGTGGAGTGCCGCCATTTCTTGCACACCTATTCCTGCATCTTTTCCTCACACAAACCTCACATGCAAGAATTTCAGACCCAAGTCGTGCAAGGTCAGGTCACCAGTTCACATCAAGTGACTTCACCTCAGAGGTTAAAATGCTCATCATGGCTACACCAATCAAACGATCGCCTTGAAACTTTCAGCGATTGATTTGAGTAACGTAACAGTATATGTAAACTGTCACAGAATTTTGTTATCCGTGACCTAAGGTCAGGTCAATTTTGCGACCTCCCCATTATGAGTCAGTGTGAGAAAACTGAAAGGCGGCTCTTGGAAGAATGCCATTGTAGATGCCCTCAAGCATCAGGATACAGGTAAATGTGATACACTGAAATTGTAAGTTGCTCCTGTAGGTACTGGGCTGTGGCCCTCACTATGTCTCCAAGGTCACCGCACATCATGAAAACCCCCAGTAGTTTTTGGGCAATAATTTTTGTTAGAGACATGCTAGAGCAACGAAAACACCTCAGCTGTGTTCAGGTCGACTATACGGATTGACTGATTTGCAACACGACCTTTTCCAGTCATGTTATGACCTTGACCTAAGGTCAGATTTTCAAATTGACCTTTTAAGGTCAAATTATAGTTCACTCGACACGTCTCGACGTGTGGAATACGATGCTACTAAAATAATTGTACCTATTACCTTCCTGGGGTCGAAAGTTATCGCAGAAAAACATGTTTCGTGAAAGCAGCTATTTTTTCCAGTGTTTGTCCTCTGGTGGCTAAACCGTTGACCTGAGGTTAAATCTGAGGACACACTCCAGAAAGAACGTTAAAAGGGTATCGAATGCGTTTTTCAGCGGCCATATAACTCTATTGGTTCCCGAGTTATGCGCCAGTGTTTCGAAAAATGTTAAAATAGGCAACATTTTACCTTTGATGACCTCTGGTGACCTGACCTTTGATCTGAACTCAGGGGAGGGGGTTGTTCACATCCGCCCTTCCCCAGCAGGGCGTGGTTTATTACAAAACACTCGAGAGTGGGGCTCGATTAATTGTTAAAATGACCCCGGCCCCTGCCTCCGACTCTGGCTCTGTGAGTCCAGACATCTGGGTGAAGTGATCTCATTCACATTGCTGCAGTCTCGAACTACCGTCATTGGAACCGTGCAAACAATGACGCCACTTTTTATAATATCCCGGCCGACCCGATGCCTAGCATACCATTACCGGGCTACAGCAGCCCTGCCGTGAACCCGCCGGCTATCGGCGCCACATAGCGGTGTTATCGGGGCTTCCGTTGCCGAGAAGCCGCCCACGCAACATTGGGTCATAGGTCGCCAGTTGGTGCCACCGCACCGGTAGTGAGGGTCGGAACGTGTCGTGGCGCCCCGTGGAGCTAAAACGGCCTGCCGGGACTTCGTGAGTCGGCACTGGGTACCATTCCTAACGAACGGCAAGTGAAGTTTTAACGTCAAAGAAATAGGTCTTCGATGCTAGGTTGTTGTTTCTGGGCGCATCATATGTGATTGGTGTCGAAGATATATATTATCACAGTTCTTTCTTTGGTTCACTCCGCCACGAGAATTCCGTCAGTTCAAGCCGCATTTTCCTGATATCTGACCCGCCATGCCCGCCATGGATCGACGTAATAGCGCTCCACCCTCTGTGGGTGCGTCACGCTATCTCTGATTATCTGCGTCTGTCCAAACACCGGCCATCGACCGTCACTGGAGCACCGGACTGACATATGGCCGTGCTGGGGCTTCCTGTCACTGAGTGAATAGTGCTGCAGTAAAGCTGCCGTGTGATTGTGTCCTTTATCATACAATTTTTCATCAATTCCATACGCCGCGTGAGCTGTACCTGTAAGTGGTCGACCGACACCAACAGTGATTTATAAATCCGACGTCTATCTCAGACTTATATCAGCGACCTGTGCGACGATTGACCACCCGCTGCACCAGCGCTGTCGTTCTTACTTACCCTTCTCACTTCTCACCTGTCTCCAGACGGCGCTGGTTAGCCGGTGAGCCGGTGAGAAGATGGCGGGCCCTGAGCCAGTCACCCGGCTCTCCCAGCTCCAGGAGCAGGACGAGGTAGAGCTCATCTCGGTTAGCTCGGGACCGGAGCTCACCGCCGTGCGCCAGGGCGACGGCAAACACCCACCACAGGTCGGTGCAGCGACCCGGACAGAGGTCGAGGCGTGTTTGCGCTCGTAATTGCAGTGGAGCTATGTTTGCATGGAGATATTTCGATTAAACGTGACGTATGCTGGCGCAAAATTTTAGCTCCTCCACTGGAATCCTATTGATGTTGATATATTTAGAATACAATTGTATTCTGTAATCTGTCACACGATTATAGTTCTTTCAGTTGAAGTGCGCAAAGGATTTCAGGAATACGGAACTTAAAGTTCCTACCATCTTGGATTTTATTCCAACAGATATAATCTCGCTGATGCAGCTGGTTAGTGACTGGGTGATATTGAATCAGGTTGATACGTCGACCACTGGGTGAATAAACCAGTCGCCGGCTTTATTTCTGAAATATTGTAATTCACAACATTTTTTTTTCTGGCATACATTCTTGGTGGGTTTGTCCCTTAGCAAAAAAATATTTGTATCCTTCCATTGCTTAGGTATGGGCGTACTGTGTCGGCTGTGGAAAAGATGGACATATGGCAGGCTGCCGGGTGAAAGGGTGTGTGTGTGTGTGGGGGGGGGTATTAGGGGATGTTTGTGGGTGGGTGAGTAAATGCACCCGCATGCGGAAGCACCTGGCGATCAGTATCACTGGCAGCCTAGACAGATTTGGCCGGATTTCAGGGCCAGGCGCAACATTCTTTTTGCTTCCGTTGATTTGGCATAGGGAACTCCTTAGCGACGCTAGAACTCGTAAAGGCTGAGCATTATTCATACTGACGGTTCACGGAAGTACTTTGATGGTTTTAGGTATCGTGGATATGGCCGCTTTGTTGTAGCCATACTGGCACGTGAAACCCGATGACACACTTGTCACCTACCTACCGTAGAATCAGTGTTTGGGGATTTTGTGTCGATGTGTTGCACACCGGACAATAGTCGGGTCTGCAGTCGTCTGCACACCTGCTTCGGAGTCATGCCTCCCAGGAGAAAGGTGCTGCACTGGAGGGTGCTTGATAAAACCGAGAGTGTGCACAGTGCGAGCTGTAAATTCCAGTGGCTGTGACGTCTAGCTGGTGATTGAAACGTGTCAATGACTCAAAGCTATCTCTAAAATTATGCTCCGGACCATCTTTGAGGGTTTGTGATTTTGCGTCTCTTTTTTCGAATATGGTGACGGTATTTGTTTTGTATCATGACGATCGATTTAACCGGTTCCAGTACCGACCGGACCAATATTTCCGCGATGGCGTTCGGAAGGTGGACTTTGTTCTGGTCCGATCGTCGGACCTGCCGCCCTCGCACCACGCACACGACGCGAGACAGGAGATCTTCGAGTCCAACCTCGTGAGTGTTCCAATGGCTAGACGCTGGGGATACATTGTCTTCCCTTACTTTTGTTTATCGTTCCACTGCCAACCAGTCGTAAATTAGGATTTAGTCAGTAAGGTATATAACGGGTCGCATAGCGCCAGCCGATTGCCAGTCATGACTGGCATAATCTCCGGTCCTGCCTCTGAAGCTGTCTTGACTGGTCGTAGATAAGTCATGACCGTGTAATGAAAACTGTCACTTTGTTCAAGCAACTCCAGAGCCTTGTGCAAGTCTGTCCTGATGTTATGTTATTGTCTGTTCTTGTACGAGTAATTAACCCTGGAAGCATTGCCTTCTTCTCAGCGTATCCTCATGACTTACGAGGGCACATTATAGCCCTGTTATTGCTCCTCGAAACCCAAACAAATAAATAGCCATCCTTTATCTAACCCCATTGCGTATGCACGCTCCCCCCCCGTGACCCACACTGTGTTTGATATGCGCCGCGCCCAGTCGACAGTTCCATCCAAGGTTCCCTCTGTCTGTGTGCTCAGAGGAAAGAGGGTCTGGATCTGGAGGAGGACCAGATTGACGAGAACAGCCCGCTGACGTTCATCAAAATCCACACGCCCTGGGAGGTGCTCAGACGCTACGCAGAAATCCTCAAAATCCGAATGCCGATGAAACTGGTGAGTATTTATTTTAGAAGACACTAGGGTTACCCGCGTGCTCCGCAACGCGAAGGGGGATTTTTTTTTTACCCGTGGGTATTGGGTTGGTCTGTGTCGATTTGGTTGGTAGATATCCATTTCGTTCGATTGCTTTTTGACGGCCAAGCATTTTGTAAGAAAACAAAAAGATACATCGCATCGAGGTGCCCGTGTCGTATTATCATACGTTCTACTTTAGAATGATTCGAAAACTGGCGTGAAGTCTTTTGAGGGCCATCGATGAATTTCGCTAAAAATGACAATGTAATGGTTTGGACCATTTACATTTTTAAGGATACTGTTGCTAATCATGCAAAAATGAAGAGTGAATATTGGACAGAATTGAATGCTCTATCCAATGGTACCATATTCAATTGCCAAAGGTATCAGGTTATGCAGCAAACCCCGTGTGATTAATAAAGTGGCACAAAATTGACCAACACCATTTTCTCCTGTGATTTGCACCGCCTTGATTTGGATCAATCAGCTTTTCACAATTTTTATATGAGAGGCGGTACCTTTCTCTTGCAAATAGGCGTTGATTCAACTCGCTCCATTTAACGGTCACCTAAAAATAAAATTAATTCCAAAATCCCTCAAAAACCGCATTTTTTTCAAATAAAAGTGCCCTCTCCGGTGCATGTGGCGCGTGCTATCCTCTGCATTGCACACCATTCAATAGCCCGTTCAATTCTGTACACGATGCTGTTTTCCCCGTGCCGGTCGGACCCCTGGTCACCAAGATATTGCACGGGAACTGGACCCGTGTCGGCCAAAATTAGCCGTTTTCGCCCGATTTCGCACGCCGATTTATACATGTAAAGTCTATGACGCGAATTTGCACTTTTTGAGCACGCGCCACGCGCTCCCTATCAATCCGATCGAGCTGAGACCCCTCAAAGGCACGTCGCGCATCCTTGATCTATAAGTTGTGCAAATTTCACCGGGCTAGGTGCAACGGTCTGGCCTGTAGTCCACGCAAAGCACGGCCAAGTCGGGACCTCGGTAACGGACAGACGCACCCTCCTCAAATAGTAATATAGATTGATCTTGAGTCGCCTGTATCACTTCTGTTAGGTTCCTTCCTGGTCACTTAGAATAAACATTTCTCGGTTAAGAAATTTGTGTTCAATGCGAGTTGGTATTCATATTCATTTGGGTCGTAAACGTGCTTTGTGCAAAACTAAAAGCGTCCACCTTACAGTTAAGACGCTTCTGGTAAAAGCATTTCCGGCTCACCAACACCATGCACAAATTTAGACAAGGTGCAATTCATACATCCTCGAAGCCTCTTCTTGAACCCGTAGCCTTACTTGTATTCTTCTCAGATGGTCTAGATAGCCCACTGCGTTGCGCCTCTCAAGTGTAATGTCAATTTGCGAGCCACTTGACGCCTACGCTGTGAATACCCCGACACTTGAGATATGACATGACATGTTTGTAAGCCCCTCAAGCCTCAGTCGCCATTCCTCACCTTGTTTTCCCAGGCATTGTTTTATCATTTTGACATTTTCTTGCATGTAAAATAGGTACCTGATACTTTAATTTAAATGCCACCCGATACTGCACATGTTATGATCCCGCAATGTGTCAACTGTCACTGACCTTACTCTTTTTCTGTTTACCTTAGCCGGCTGGAATAAGCAAGGATGAAGCTTTCATCAAGCAGGTTCCCGTGATTCGGGAGATCACAGATCTGGTGGACACGTTTGATAACAGCATGTTCGGGGTGAACCCCAAGAAGTTTCCGCCCAAGAACCAGACCCTGACCGGCGTCTACAGCAGGGACCGCGAGTACCTGTGAGTGCTCAGCCGAGACGCCGCTCACTAGTGATCTTCTGCATGTTTGTACTACATGAGATAATCGAGTTTTGTTTGCTAGAGTTACAGCCGGTAGCGTATTCAACGTTTTCTTTGGTTTGGGTAGTAAACTCCACAAGCAGATGCGCTTTTGAACGAACTTTGTGTTGAGCGTCGGAGGCAGTTTTTTAATGCGCGTTTGATTTGCTTGTACAATGTGTATGCGCGGTAACAAAGCTACCTGTAAGTATGTGCTTTTATGACATGATGTGTGCACTCCCTGATGTTCCTCAGTCATTTTTCCGAGTACCCATGACCTGTTGACCCTTGTCTGACCTGACCGGTGACCCCGTGTGACCCAGCTTCGACATGTCGGCCGGTTTCTTCACGCCGGCGGTGAGAGCCCGCGTGGTCGCCTTCATCTTACAGAGAAAGTGGTTCGTCGAGCACGACCCCGAACATGAGACGGTGATGGACTTTGGCATCAACAGACTGCTGGCCGACAAGACCTACCTGGCCAGCTATGCGCCGCACGAGGTCAGCTGCAGCGGGCGGGGGGAGGGGAGGGGAGGGGAGGGGAGGGGAGGGGAGGGAGGGAGGGGAGGCTGGGAATGTGGCTGGTGGGCGGTGGACGGGCGTGTATTTCTGAATTGGTAAAGCAGAATCTCTTGTCGCAGTTGATGTGTTTTTGCTTGTCATGAAGGCAGTGAACTGTGAAATAGAAAGAAGCAAAAACAGTTATTGAATGATGGTGTTTTTAGACATAAAGCTTAATTCGTTCAAATATATATAGCTGCATACAACTTTACGTTCTGTCTCATACTATAGTCCGTTCCATATCAAGCTTGCAGTCGGAGTTTCTTCGGCAGATGGGCAGATCGCTCCTCCGCTCAAGAATTTGCGTCTTATAATGTAAGAGCTGAGGCCTCTTGCACCAAAATACCTTGCTAGGTAGAATCGGCAAAATACCTACCTAGTAAAACTACCTACGGCGGTAGCTTCTCTTGCACCATCCTACCTACCTACCTAGGAAAATTTGACAGCTCGCGTTTTTAGGATTTGTTTTGATTGGTTGTTTGGCGACAAATTATTTGTGGGCGCGAACAAATAGTAACTTATGGAAAACAATTAAATGGATATTGTTTTTATTAATATACATTTTGGTATTATGAAATCATTTTTCATTTCCGTAAATACCGCGAGAAGTTATTTTGATATTAAATTACTTGAACAAATAAGCTTCGTTTCCAAGACAACGAGTGAGTCTTCAACCTGGCTGTTCTGCTACGGAGGTTTATCACTTGGGTACGGAGAAGCACCTCTGTGAGCCCATGGAGCATTTGGTCAATTATATTATTATTTACTCATAAAACATTGATTTATCATTGTCTAAACATTTTGTAATGCCTAAATTACATAACAGTAGCCGTTGATTATCATGTATTGTGCCTATTGTTACTAATTGAATCATTTTACCTAAGGTTTTGCTAGTTATTTTGGAAGCCCGCGTTTACCGTCAAACCGTCAAAAATTCCTCCGCGAGTACTTCTTTTCGGCTTTCGGTGCAAGAGGAAAACAGCCGGCCGGACTTTAACAATTGGTAAGTTCTTATGCCGCTCGGTAGAATTTCTAGGTAAATTTTCACGGTAGCGTTTTTTGGTAGGTAGGTTGGTGCAAGAGAATCTAGGTAAAATCTGAATTTACCTAGGTAGGTAGTTTGGTGCAAGAGGCCTCCGTATATACAGAAATCACGCACTGCTTTCAGCAAGGCACTTCGGCTGCAAGCTTGAAACAGAACAGAGTATAGTCACTCTCATGCTTCTGGTTGTCTCGTTTCTTTTCTTTACTCTTTGTTCTGAGTTGACTGTGCCTTCATCGATCTGACATCGATCTGAATCACTCTCTGACACATTCCACCCCACCCCTACCGTTTTATCAGGGCCCTCTGGACTCGAAGGACAACGCGCGCTCCAAGCTCCGCTCCGAGTGGGCCAGCCTGCGCAAGTTTTACAGGCACCAGCCGCTCGACTACGTGCAAGAGTACTTTGGCGTCAAGATCGCCATGTACTTCGCCTGGCTGGGCTTCTACACGTACGCGCTGATCCCTCCGGCCATCGTGGGCATCATCTGCTTCGTCTACGGCTTCGCCACGCTCTGGGACGACATTCCCAGGTGGGTCGGAGACACTCACCTGTATAAGTTTTAATATTCGTTTGCTTGTTTTGATCAAACCTATGCTTTGACCGTACAACCGGCTGAGAGGTAAAACTTTCTCTGTATCTCGGTTTTGTTTGCCGGCAATGAAGAGATCATAACAATGACACACCACTTGCCGATTTGCAATGCATTATTTTGCCGGACGATAGATTGCCTTGTTGTTGGGTAGGATATGCGTATATCTAACTTACGCAGGCTTTGTGATGCTGTGTACCTAACGAAATATTCTGCACCTGCTGTATTATAAATGTAATTTTATGTTCACTGGCTCAACCGACATGGGCTGTGCCTCGCTGCAGTGTAGCTCATGCCATGTCAGTGGTTTCACATTGTTCAGACGCTGACACTAATGCGATTTACTTTATCCCCCACGCTGGCTACCTGTCTTCACATCCCAGCCCCCCGCGACCACAACACAGCGTCTCCGTGTTACAACAATAAACCGCGGCTTTGTGGCCTTCGGTCTGACTTATTTCCTGCTGTGTTGCAGTAACGACATCTGCAAGGACACTGAGGTGTGGATGTGCCCGATCTGTGACGTGTTCTGCGACTTCTACCGGCTCAACGAGACATGCGTCTACGCCAAGTTTACCTACATCGTCGACAATCCGTCCACCATCTTCTTTGCAATATTCATGTCGTTTTGGGGTAAGTGGTACCCGTTTTGACTTGAATCACTTCTGGTGTGTTTCACCTCAATTATTTAGACGTTCAACTACACCACCTATTGATTCAAACGTGTGGGCCAGAACGCTATCAGTTATTCCCTATTCGCTGCTGTATGATTTATTCACACGTCGTTCCATTAGGAAATAGGTATGCGCTCTAGCGCCCGCAGATTCGGGAATTACCTCGAACATAATAGATTCTCGTAGTTACGTTACAATATACTCGTAGCTCATATATGCCTCCTCAGTGAGCATCTGACATTTTTTATCCGAAGTTCTTCGCCACTCCGCTGCCTGGTAGTACGTTGACCGTTTCTTCTAGTTGGTTTAACGTGCTCTGTCATTTACCCAGCGGCGCTGTTCTTGGAGCTGTGGAAGCGTTACTCTGCCGAGATCACCCACCGCTGGGATCTCTCCGGGTTTGATCTCAAAGAGGAACACCCGAGACCGGAGTACCTGAGCAAACTCAAGGACCAGCGTCAGGAGGTGAGTTCGCTCTCTTCAAAGTCATTTGAAGTAGATGGCCAATGCTGACCAATGCTGACCAATGCTGACCAATGCTGACCAATAGCTATGCAGCATTGGGGTTTTGATGTATGCTTCATGGGATGCTGAGAATTGTGAAAATGATAGGTGCACAGGGCACGATCACGTGCGTTGTGAGATTGCATGGAGCCGATCTATTGTTGTAACCTGCGCTGAACGAAAAAGGAAGGTCCCGCCGAGATTTGAACTCGGATCGCAGGATTCAGAGTCCTGAGTGCTAACCGTTACACCACGGGGCCAGTTGGGGGGGGGGGGGGGGGGGGTGGCAGGAATAGTAGATAAATTTCAAATACATGCAAAATCTCGCTTCAATGAATACATGCGAAAGCTCGCGTGGGTCGATTATGGTAAATGAATCCTCCTTATTCACTTAGGTTTCCTTCATCCTTCGATTTTCAAGTTTTTACTGGTGCCACATGACAGCGAAGCGCACTCGCGAGCATGGGTGGGGCTTTTCCTGTGAAGGTGGTGGCCGGGGTAATTAATGTCAAATCCGATCGTCAAAATCAATTTCTATCATGACAGACATTATATTTTGCCTAACGCAGACATTCCTAAAGCTTTTCAGTGAAAAATATTGATTTGCAAAGCAACAAAGTCCGAAAAGTCAGCTTAAGTTATTGATGGGGTAGAATGACAAGTTGGTGGGGCAGCCTCCCCCTAACTGCATAGGAAGCTCCGCCCCTGCTCGCGAGCATATTCATTCTCGGGCTGGTGAGGGCACCGATGGAAAATCGTAGCGTGGTGTCACTGTCCGGTTTCAGCGAGCGGGGACGGAGAGCAGTCAGAGATAAGCGCGGAGCACACATAGCACAAACAGCTCCCAGAGCTGTAGTAAGGGAGCTTGAGTCAGGCGTTTCGCGGTACTTTATATCGTCAGTTGCTACCAATTTTTTAGGTTCGGCTTGTTCAACAGTTATAGCAAGGCGCCTTGAGCAAGGGCTATAGGATGTTCATTGTTACCTACACATTCCCTCCGGCCTCCCCTCGTTTGCGACCAGGTGAACATCGTAACGAAGCAGCTGGAGCCGCACGTCAGTTTCTGGAAGATGCGCCTACCCAGAATGCTCATCAGCGCCTCCATCATTTTGCTGCTGGTGAGTGACCGGAATAGGGAAAAAGAGCATCCTCATGAGTCATGCCTACCTGTTTTTATTGTGAGACAATAGACTGGGCAGTATTGGTAGGTGTCGACGACGCGGCAGTCGCATTAGTTGATTAATTAATTAATTAATTAATTAATTAATTAATCCATTTATTTATTCATTCATTCATTCATTCATTCATTCATTCGTCTAGCTTGATCCAGCCATGAACCATCCAATGCGTTCAGTCAATTTATTCATTCATTCATTCATTCATTCATTCATTCATTCATTCATTCATTCATTCATTCATTCATTCATTCATTCATTCATTCATTCATTCATTCATTCACTCCTTCACCCATTCTGATCCATCCATCCAATGCATTTATCCATTTATCCATCCGTCCATTCATTCATTCATTCATTCATTCATTCATTCATTCATTCATTCATTCATTTATTCATTCATTCATTCATTCATTCTTTGTGTGTGACTGTTGTGCAGATTGTGGTGGCGATCGCCATCATCGTCGGCGTGGTGCTGTACCGGCTGTCAGTGATGGCCGCCCTGGGGGCTCTCACCTACTGGAACAGCGGCTACGACCATAAGGTCTACGTGGAGACGTACGGACCCATCTTCGTCAACGCCACGGCGGCCACCATCAACCTGCTGATCGTGCTGCTGCTCAACCAGGTGAAGCTGTTGGACGGGCCCAGCTGGGGTAGTTCATTTGTTGCGGCACAGACTTCTCTTTATGGAAAATGCATGCGTCTCAGATGGTAATCAGTAGCATGGTAACTAGTGATTGCTTCAGGCTTTTTACTATAATAGTTTATGTGATTCAATGATTGAATTGGCAGGCTGAATTGGAAACTGAATGCAGGATCCCAATTCAAATGCATTAGTGAGCAGCCAATATCTTTTAATTTTGTTTCATAGGAAGAAGTTGCTGATGAATTTTAGTTTGCATATGCTTACATCGGACTTTATGCCTATGCAAAATGCACGATGTTTTGCCAGAACTTCGCGCGGCGTTTGGTGGGTGTATGGTTTCCACGTCGGCCTTATTACGATGATTTAGTAAATGCTTAAAGGTAGTGTGCCACCTTCGAATGATTTCCCATTTTATTTTTCCAAGGATAAGAAGCTTTTGTTTTTACCTAATATCGCAAAAAAAAATCAAAAATGGGCCTAAAATAGTGCTTTTTTTCGCCTAAAAGTTTATCGGTTTTTCGATATGTATGACAACTGTAGTGGGCTGATCTGCAAACAGGCGTCGGCAACAATCACGAATGCGGCGCACATGTGACAATAAGCAAAGGTCATTATAGAGTTACGAGTTACGAAGTACGGGAATGAGTTATCAGCTGTCTAATCGTAGACAACACAATGTTGAATTTAAACTGTAAGCCTGTATTGGTATTGTTTCTTTAATTTGGCTGTCAAATATTAATTTATGGTTTGAAATATTATTTTATGTAAAATAATTGATATGAAACAGCCGTCTCTAAAGTTATGACCCCATCTCACCACATGAAAGTGGCAGAAATGACAATGATCAGCTGACGCATTTTTCTTGGCCGAAGTCAGAGCGCGCGGCCCGACGCACCACCACCGCACCACAAAGTATGAGCAGAAGCCGCGCCCAAAGCCAGGGCCCCGGTAACGTGAGGTAGCCGAGTCGGGGCAGCGTGCGCTGACCCAAGCCGGGGCCGCGGCTTTGGGCGCGGTCTACCGCATCCCCGCGGGCAGCCCCGGGCTATCATGCATGACACCGGGAGGACGCGCGGCCCCGGCTTGGGTCAGCGCACGCTGCCCCGACTCGGCTACCTCACGTTACCGGGGCCCTGGCTTTGGGCGCGGTCTACCGCACCACCTAACAGGCGTGTTCGAAACCGCAGGAGATGATGATGAACGGGTTTATCGAAACTTGATTGGATGAACCTATCGGTAATAGCGATTTCAGTGTGTGCATTTATTGTTCATAGTGGTGTGAAATGTGGTTGGGGTACGACCGACAACCCGTCGGGGCGAATTTCGCACTGGGGTACTCAAAATTTGAAGAATTTAAGACGTTTCCATGAGTTTTGAAGGTATGGATAAGTTCTAAAAATCCGGTTCTCCTTATCTGGGCCATTAACTCCATACGGTCCAGGAAAGCTGGCACACTACCTTTAACCTGTATTTCCGCTAAACGCGACACGCTAAGCAGGCACACCTGGACTCTGCTTTCAGTGTCATGATACGCATCTGAAGCTAGTTTTCCTTCCATCTGTCCAGGTGTACAACCGCATCGCCGGCTTCCTAACCGACTTGGAGCTGCCGAGAACGCAGTCCGAATACGACGACAGCCTCACGCTGAAGATCTACATGCTGCAGTTCATCAACTACTACTCCTCCATCTTCTACATCGCCTTCTTCAAGGGAAAGTTCCACGGCTACCCGGGCGACTACAACCGGATCTTCCGCTACAGACAGGAGGAGGTGAGGGCCACGGACGGGGAGGGGAGGCGGGGGGGGGGGGGGGGGGGGTCGGGGGGACTCCCGGGGCGCGCCTGTTTCAGAGTTTGTTGGAACTTGGAAGTCGGTTGTTTACGACATCAGTCGCCTGAGATATTGAGAACGGCATCTGGGGAAGATGACGAGGCAATGCTTCAATTAAGTATGCCGATGTATGGCGCAAACAGCGAGTTTTGATTGTTGGGTGAAGTTTTCACGCTCACAATATATCACCTGGCTGTGACGTGGTGTATTCAGGAACGCGGCAAGCCCGTCTGAATTCGTGATGCATGATGATACGGGGTAGCACCTTCAGCTAACAAGGAAACATTTTTTTCACTGCTCATAGTAATAGCTAAGGGCGTATTCCTTGAAATATATGCTCCCTAGTAGTCTCATGAATTGTGCAATTTATAACAAAGAGAAGGACCACACGAAAGCTATTTGCTTAACGGTCATAATTGTTGTCTGGTCACGAAAAGGAAGTGGGGATACAACTACAGCCATAGTCTGTCCAAAATATATCTAGTCTACTCTGTTGGCGATCCCGCATTGATTGTCATAAACAGCCGGCAGAGTCCGAGCAGCTAGAAAAAAAGGCGCTGCCACGACCATCATCTGATTTGCAATGCAATGTGTGTGTAATGTGTATGCAGTGCCCTTCAAACCTGACACACATCATTGACGCTTTATATCACTCGTGGCTGGGGGCTTTGCATTAAGTAGCAATAGATCTGCCATGACACACAGCTTAGCACATTGTGACAGCTTTATTTCAGATGGATCACCACTGGAAATCCTGCAACACGCTCCTACATGAGCCTCCAGCCCAGAACAGCCGTACGTTTAATATGGGCATTGTCATAAAGTGTCGATGTTATAAGCCTCATCTCGACTGATCGGTTCTTTTTTCCAGTGTGGACCCGGGGGCTGCCTATGGGAGCTCTCGCTACAGCTGGCTATTATCATGGTTGGCAAACAGGCGCTTCTCACCATCTGGGAAAACATCCTACCGTAAGTAGAATTGGATAACATTCTAGTCTGGCCATGTTGTAATTATTTAATGTTGGCAATTTTATCGCATTTGCTTGTACTTAGCCCATAATTGGTGTTCGCTACTTATTTAACGACCGCTGCGTTTCACGATAGTGATGAATAGATAATTTTCAAAGCAAAGCTCTGTTGATGATAATTTTTCGGTGGCTTATTGTTACTTATAGGCTGATCACTGTGAAATGACATTCTATTTATCGACTCCTGTCCTTTGTGTACCAGAAAGCTGTTCTCGTGGCTGAGCGGCCTCAGTAAGCTGCTGTGTGCCGTGCACTGCTGTGAAATTTGTGCTATGTTCTGTGTACTGTGTACTGTGTACTGCATGTGCCGTGTGCTGTGTACTCAGTAGTTTCGGTTGTGCGTGCGACAGGAAGCTGTTTTCGTGGCTGAGCGGCCTCAGTAAGCTGCTGTACGACAGTGAGGAAGACAAGAAGGAGCTGCCTCAGTGGGCGGCCGATTTCACGCTGCTCAGCTGGGGAACCCAGAGCCTGTTTTGGGAGTACCTGGAAATGGGTAAGTCCCCGTCAATTGACGTCTTGTATGTGTCTTAAGTCCCTTAACCCTATTAGTGACAGGGGGGGGGGGGGTTGTTTTCATCCACCCCTCAGGTTTTTCGGGAATATCTCCGAAACCGCTGAAGCTACGATGCTGAAATTTTCTAACTTTTCCTAAAACTAAATTGGGCACATTCCCTTAAAATTTCAAGTTCATAACTTTACCAGGGGCGGCTCCAGAGCACTGGGAATTGGGGGGTCCTATTCGTGAAGCGAGTCATTTGGGCGAAGATCACGATGCTGATGTATTATAACTGTATGCACCAGTTTTACGAACAGTGAAGGAAATGTATCATGTGATAACATATACAAAGTTATTGTGCATCCTCTTTTGACACGTTTTTGCTGTAATAGGCGGATCCAGGCGTCCAAAAAGGGGGGTTATGTTTTACCTCCCAACATAGGTGCCCTGACACCGCCTATGCATGACCAATACAATTGTAGTCGTTCTCTCATAAGAAAATTGTAACATAACAAGACCATTACCACCCTTTTTAGAAACGGTACCAACAAAAACCTTATTTACTATACTTTTTGTGTACCCCCAATCTCAATGATCTGTATCCGCCTATGATTTTTGAAAATGCATATTCTTAGGATCCATGTGAATTCCTGGTTCATTCTCTATCGATCGGCAAAAGTTGCGTTAAGATTGGTTCAGAATCCTGGCCGTGATAAACAGTCTAAAAAGTATCTGCAATTTGCGCGTTTTTACCCCCCCTCTACCCCCCCCCCTATTGACATTTTTTTAATTTTTATTTTTTAGAAATGTAGATCACGTTGAGCGAAATCGAATGCCGTTTGAATTTTGAAAATCGGCCCGTTAGATCTCGAGATATCAAGGGGGTCGTAAACAGCCCCCCCCCCCTGCCACTAATAGGGGTAGCCAGGAGCCTGCCACTAATAGGGTTAAGTGCGTGCACATCTAAGGGATGTTTCGTGTAGCTCCGGCTTTTTTTCATTAGAAAAACAATTCTAACGAATAGTGTATTTCAAACAACCTGCGACTTTGAATTGCATATTGCAATCGAGAATAGCGCTTTAAAGTATGTTGGGGATCGGTTACATTTGTTTATGGACTTAGAGACGGCTTGGTGCGAAAACCCCGCTCGGATGCTCGGTAATGTATTGCAGCCGTGAGAGGTAACTCATCCTGTCTGCCGGCTCAGGTTTTACTAGTCTGACGTTCTCGGCTGGCTCCGTACCACAGCCGAGACGAGATAAATGACGGAAAACCGTGAATTCCTCTTGTGTGACGCTAAGGCCATAACCCGCCTTTCTTCTGGTGTATCATCAATCTTGCTTTCTAATCCATTTGCTACTGTGTGAAGTATTGGCTGCAACAGTAACGTAACCCCGCCTCTGCCGGTGTCCCGCTCCCTCCATTCTCTTGCCTGCCTTGACCTCTCCTATAAACGAAGAGCTAGTCATGTTTAATAGGATTTTTTATGGCAATGCTTAGCTCCTTAACGGCTTCATTAGTAAATCCGGTGTTGCATCGTTTACTGTTCGTCATTTAACGGATGCTTCGACATATGTCCAATCCCTCACCGTCCCGACTCTCACCGTTCTTCGTCCAGTCTCGCCCGCTACCCGCCCTAACCTGAGTCGCTGTTCTCTGCCTGTTTCCCTCACAAACACACTTCTAAGCTGCTCACGTACCCGCCGCAGTGATCCAGTTCGGCCTGGTGACCATCTTCGTGGCGTCATTCCCGCTCGCTCCGCTGTTCGCCATCCTCAACAATGTGCTGGAGATGCGGCTGGATGCGCGCAAGCTGCTTACCTTCTATCGGAGACCGGTCGGACAGCGAGTCAGGGATATCGGCATCTGGTACCGCATCCTCAACACTGTCGGACGGCTGGCCGTACTGAGTAATGTGAGTGGAAGTTAATGCCCGGGTGCACTCTCGGGCCCCGCAGGAGACAGCTGCGGGGGAGGGGGGGGGGGGGGGGGTTACGAGAGGCTGACTGTGGCTCATTGCTTGTGAAATTTTCAGAAATATTACAGTCATTGAAAATCATTGGCCAAATGTTACAGCGAGATATGTTTTATAACTGATGAACACTGCACTCTCACTAAACCTCCTTTTAATTGGCAATGTTCTCATCTACGTTGGGAAACTTTCGGCGGTAATTATTTCATGCTTCTAATTAGCGCTTCTTAATTTGTATGTGCTTAAGCAGCAAGTTCCGAATTCTTCCTAATTTCTCGAGTCCGCTAAGTACCATTTTCCTACGGCGGTGATAATTATCCGCCCGTTTTTCAGGCGTGTATCATCGGCTTCACGTCAAATCTGATCCCGCGCCTGGTGTACCGTCTCACGGTCAGCCGGAACAACACGCTGGACGGCTTCATCGACAACAGCCTGTCCGTGTTCAACGTGGCCAACTTCAGCTCCGAGTTCCGGCCCAAAGACCAATCGGCAGATATCGAGGTTTGCAGGTATGCACGACTGCAATAAGACTTTCGGGATCCAATGGCCGGAAAGATCCGACTTGTCCTTCTCACACAAAAACATTAAGAGTATAAGTGAAATTTGGTGATGATTTTATCTGGTTTTAATCGGTTTTATGATTAAAAGGATGTTTTTACATTAGCTTCATTTTTAGATTATCCTGGTGTGTGTTTTGCTTCAGTGGATGTAAGCGACTATAATTTCGCTGATGAATAGCGACCAATTGTCTTGTTTACGTGACCTAGTTTCCGGTGCTGCGTCTTTTGAAGCGTCGGCTGATCACAGCTGACGACTTTTTCGTTTGATGTGACTGTTTTGATCATACCGGAGAAGTTGAAAAGAAAAGCTAATGAAGCATTGGCGTGGCTCTGTGTGGGCTTTCGTAAAGTCCAATCAAATCGGGATTCGGGCCGGGATGCCCCGCATCTTGGAGCGAATGCTACCATATAATTGGAATGGTAACTTTGCACCGAATGAGGGACTTTTAAAGACATATATAGTTACTATAGAAATAGATAAAGAATGAGAGAAATGCATTTCTACACGGTGGTTCAGCAATTGTAAATGGAGCAGTCTTTTTTTAGTCGGCTATGATTGTTGTCGCCTAAGACGGAAAGTTTATCAGAAAAGGTCATATTTTGAAGGCAGCTTTTCGTTAGTAGGCTGTTTTCGTGGATTACGTGTGTACGTAATGGCGTCATCTTTCCCGCCCGGAGGTCAGACTTGTCAACATTATATCTCCCTTCATTTTGCTGTGGAGTAGCAAGCAGCTTGGTTGAAGTCGAAACAACACCCATTTGCAAAGACGCCCTCCTATTGAATTTGACACTTTCACAGACATGTTGTGGTCAAGGAGACACAACTGAAAGTTATAATTGTGTTTCGCTAGTCACATTTGTAAAATGATGCATAGTCCGGGGAAAAGCGGCCCCGGTTATTGTTTTTCTCTTTACAGAAAATAAAGTTATCATTGGTTAGATCACACCCACAGTCCTCCCTATTTAGGACGCATGCTTCCAGCTCGCCAGAGAACGTGCTAACGGTAATTTGTGCTGGAATTATGCAACTGAGGAATGTACTTCGTCCTTTTTATTCCACAGAAGATCAGTCAATGCGCAGGCCTCTGATCCGCGCACATTCAAAACTCAGGCTCGTCTAGTTTTGTTTTCTTTCGTATTTCAATTTGACGTCTCATTCATTGGGCCAGTCTCGTTTCCAGATATTCAGCGCTCCCACTGTTTGCCAATGCTGCTCTCGAAGCTATTGACCGAACCTTTCCACGACCTTCGAAACTGCACCTCAGCGCTTAGGCATATACAGGTGGTATTGCGCACTTATTCAAATCCGTTTGAAGTCTCTGATTTAGGCCAAAACCCGGTGAGTTTGTTTGCTGCTGCTGTAAACTGCCGCGAGCTCAATTATTTGCCAATGCAAATTCAAAGAGCGTGTTTCCGCACGTCGCACCACCAGCTGCTGCCCGAGGGTTTGGTAGAACCGGAGCAATATTTTGCAACATTGCCTTTTCCATCTGGAATAAGTCCCAAACAAGGATGGTGATGCAATATTTCCGGTGGTAATATTTAGCATAACAGAAAAACTGGCGCCATTTTTAATGACAACGGATGCAATATTTGATGTTCAAATATTTCTTGTCGAGCCTTTTCTTTTTCGTTCGCTTGATTTGATGTTACGGCGTCAAAGATGGATGAAGTTGCATAATTATTACAACAGCACTAACCGACACATTTTTCTATATCCAAAGACAAGGATAACCGGTAGATCATGTTATCTTTGCCAAAGACTGAACAGCTATGAACCACGACCTGGCAGGCAGCAGGCATGGGACCAAATCTAACCTAAAAATTAATTCAGTCCAAAACAGGCTAGGTATCCAGAACCACAGCCTAATAAGAAGAGTAGTCATTCGCTACCACCCTACCCAGTAGGGCGCTGTCTAACCAAAGTGTGTCTGTTTCAGGTACCTGGACTACCGTAACGGACCGGATGACCCCGATCCGTACCAGCCTTCGACGCTCTACTGGCACGTGCTGGCCGCGCGACTCATGTTCGTTCTCGTCTTCCAGGTCGGTAGAATGGAGGGATGGGGTTGAAACTGGGAGTGGAGAGGGTTGCTGGAACGGGACTGTCCCGACGCTAGTGGGTTAGGGCAGACTGGTGTTTGATTCATCTGTGATTGAATCGATTGGATTGAATCAAACAAAATTTGTTGAATCAAAAAGGTTTGATTCACCGTCAGGATTGTTTGATTCACAAGCCATGATTGAATCAAACGCATTGGGAATCAGAGTTGATTGAATAAAAAAAAATTAATGATTCATGAACTTAAAAAAAAAATTGAAGTGAATGAACATAGTTCATTATCAACAAATATTAACACTACTGCCATTACATGACAACAAAAAGAACACAACAAATACAATACTATCCCTGATATTTTGTATATTTTATTTTTTAATTGAATCAAAAAAGAATCATTCAAAAAAATTTGGCTGAATCAAAAGGAATCGATTCACCAAATTTTTTGAAGGAATCAAACGGTGATTGAATCAAACAAAAATCAAATGAATCAATGATTGAATCGATCCAAAAAAGGCGAATACAAAACCAGTCTGGGTTAGGGTGGGACGGAGTGGGACGTCACTGTCCCATCGCCAGTGGAATAGGATGAACGGAGTGTTGATGCGCCTAATGGACCGGAGTGAGAGTAGCGTGGAGTGACTGAATTGTACGCTGAGCTGGGTATGAATATCGAATAAAGGCAGTGGAGAGGTGTGATGTGCAGGTGGATTGGCTTTTTTGGTGCCGCGGAGGATGATCAGAAATCAGAATGGTAGGTGCAGCGGAATATTGGGATGAATAGTCTGATAGGTTGGATTTGGTGGATCTTTGGGGATGAGGTTATGGAACTAACAATTGTACGTTGTTTTGGGGGAAGTCGAATGGAGAAGGAATGTAAGATATGGTATGAGAAATATGATGATGATGTGTATGTGCATAGTGGGTCGGGTGGGGAGGCCGTGTTGAAATTTCCTCCTGTCTTACCGTGAGACACGTTGCTAGGTTTCCTCGCAGCCTGCAGACCGCAACCTTCTCGCCATTTGTCCGGTGATTTTCCGTTGTTGATGCTTGATATTTTGTTTCGGTGAAGTTTTATTAGCATCAATAGTGCAGCTCAGCTCGCTTAGTGTCGGTTTCCGTATTGGTTAGTTCAGCCGCTTGATCGATTCCGCTCGCTGCTGCCTGCTCTTGCATAAATGGTTATTCATTCGAGATGAAGCGAAACTTTTATTCTGCTACTGGTTGGGGGAACTTTAACCGTGCTCCAATACGCATTGCTGCTCTCCAGAATGAATAGATTTTGTGAACGGCTTTTTCAGAATGCCAGCCACCTTCGGCTCGGGCAGAGCAGCAACCAGAGTGAAATAAAACGCCAGATATTTGTAAACTTCCACTATAACTGTGGGTACCTAAAGACCCGGGAAGATCATACCATTTTATTATAAAATTCCGTACCGTACTCCTTTATTTGAAATCACCCCTAGCCGTGTGCTCGGCACTCACATCTAAAGCCGTCCTGAACTGTGTTGTTCGTGCCCCACCTCCGGCCTTAGACCGAGCGCTGTGCTGTGTCCCACAGAACGTGGTGTACGTGATAATGCAGCTGGTGTTTTGGATCACGCCGGATATTCCGCGGAAGCTCAAGGAGCGCATCCAGCAGGAGAATTACCTGGTGCAGGTCAGTCTCGCCGAGTCGCTTCCTTGGTTCTCGCCGGTGGATGGGAAGGGGGAGGCGTCGGAGCAGCGGAAGGGAGGGCAGGGGTGGGTGGTCGGCGGGCGGGGAGGGGAGGGCTGACGTCGGAGCAGCGGACGGGTGGGCAGGAGGTTTGTTGGCCCGTGGGCAGGATGGGATTGATGGATGTTGTTTACTGCTGGATAAAATATGACCGGCTCTGTACTTAGTGTGAACACTTAGTGTGGATGTGTGTCAATAGGTTGACATCGAGTGTGGACATCTTGACGACTGTCTTCATGTGGCATCATTCCTGCTGAAGGAAATCGTCACGTCAATTAAAAGAGGTTGGCGGAAACTGTATCCCACCCACCGACTGCTGTGTTCCGACTCTCCCTTCCTCCTATTGACATTTTCAGGAGATGATAGTCGAGATGGAGCTGTTCCGTTCGCGCGGCGAGGACCCCAGCAGCGTGGGAGAGACGCTTCTGCACCGTATCATCGGCGACCCCGAGGTAGGTTACCAGGTCACCAGGTCAATGGGATATTGACGTGCTGTAGTCGCTGAGATTGAGCGGCGATTGTTGTAAGGTTGTAAGGTGAAACTGTGGGCGGGATGGGTGGTGCTGGAGATTGGTGGGTCTATGTAGTAGGAATCATATCTTGGTTAATGCCTATGCTGAAGTATCGCTTTATAGCTAAGGTAAACTGCTGTTTGAAACATTCTGGTGATCATGAATAAGGTACGGTAGTTAAGGGTTATTTGGATCATTGCAAAATACCATAGGGAATTTATTGGATTCCGGCACTACGTATGATGAACACTGGTACTTAAAAGTACGACCACCCTTTCACCATTAAACACTATATATTTTACCTGTCTTGAACTTCTAACATGCATCATATTTGAGTTACTTGTTCGATACTGAACTGCAATCTATTTTCGCTGGGACCGCCTGGCTCATATGACAGCAACTCGAGCGAGGCAGCAGTGAGTGGGCCGGCCAACTGTCGCACATGCAATGCTTTCAATGTTGTCGCTTTCGATGTTGCACGATCTAATTTAGTATATCTAATATTATCTAATATAATATATTATAGTTTTCATGAAATGTCTTCTCCGACATGGACAGATCTAAAAGAAGCCACCCACCGGCCATGACTCAGCACCTTATGTTCAACATTGGAACTGCATGCAGAGAAAACATTTTCATAGCTTCCCTTCGCCTTAAGTCACCCTGGTTGGCTGCAGAATATTTCGTAAAAATATAACACTGAGAGATTATGCTATCTGCGACCACAAAAGAATAATTCATTGCCAGACGAATTTTCTTTTAAATCCCTCTTTCCGGGTCGCAGGATCTCAGAGGATTCCACCGTCTCTGCATATTTACGAGCTTCACATTTCCATAATTCACGTACCATTGAAGCCAGAGTGACTCGTCGGTCGCCTAAAAGATGGGATGTCGTGGCGGGGTCGCTTATAACACGGGGAGCGGGCCGTTTTGCCTGACTGCTACGGAACTGCGAGCTGTTAGTTGCTTTGACCGGCTGTTTTGCCACCAGGTAGTTTGATTGATGAACATCATTTGTTTGTTTCATAATAGATAGCTGAGAATAGGCGCTTCAATGCTCGAAAACTGTAAGTCGCTTGAATGGTACTGAAATTTTAATATTTCCTGCATGCTTACGTCTTGAGCTAGCCAAACTTGAGCAGTCGCTTTATCTTGTCAGCGTAGCCAGTAACCCAATGAAACGACATCTTCGTGGACTGACGCAATGAAACACTGCACTGTTGAAGGCCATATGACATGCCATGCCATCAATCCCCCACGCTTTGAGATGGTACATAAATATCTGCATGATGTTAGGTGACGCACTTCATCACGGCTTACTTCATTCATCACGCACTATTCAATCCTACGGATTGGTGATGTTTTTCTCGTAGATTTATGTTGCATAGTGAAAGCACAGTACTCTGATTGTGTTAGCTTGCGTCAATCCGTTATCATTTATGTTTTTATTCATCTTTCATCTTGTTGCATTTTTAGTGGCAAATGCCGGCGAACTTCGCCCCATCCACTTTTGTCATAAGAATCGCTAAGTTAATCTCTGTCAACTTTGACTGATACATAAGCTTTGACAAACTTTTTGCCAAATCCTCTCAGAACTTGTGTGCGCGACCGGAGTAATCATATTTGTGTGCTTTTCTTCCGTTTCTGCAGTCTTTCTTGCATGCTACGAACTTTTTGTCGAGTGCTGAAATTCTTAACCTGTATACTTGGAAACACCTACGCTTTTAGAAGAAAACAGCTTTCTTATTTCGTATGTTTTCTCGAGTGAGGAGGTCGCCGTGTAGCTGCTCACTGATGCCACTGGGCTGAACTCCTCTGAACCCCGTTCTGACTCATCTGCGTTCTCCGACAGCAATTGGAGGCGATGAGCTCACGCCCCGACGGCGTCACCCGAAGAAATCGCCAGCGCGATCCCTTCCCGAAGTCCAGTGACCAAATCATCGGCTCCGGCAGCCATCTTCACGCCTGCGTCTAGGGCGACATCTACCGGTGATCCGATAGCAGTGACATCTGCAGGCCGGCCCGGCAGCGCCACCTATAACACTACACAGTCATCGCACATCCGGTTCTACAGAAAAGCTGTATACTGGAGTCACTTTAGCGACTCTGTCACAAGCGTCGTTTCAATATGGTCTGGGTTCCGCTATATCCGATGCCGCTGCGTTTGATCTGTTTGGTGTGAGGCTAGCAGGTATTCGAATGTCGCGTCTCGCTTGTGAATGTCACTGACAGGGTGATTTAGATCCGGCTGGGGAAAGTTTGAGCCATTTTCTGGCGATATTGGATGCGCTAGAGCCATCTTCCTGTCATGTAATTGATCCAGATCTATCGGCGCAGCCAACTTGTGGCTATCGTCTGTTGTATTGTGTTCGTGGCTCTCGTATAGTGGTTCTCTCGTATTGTGTATGGTGTGATTGCCAAAGTGCTCTGAACCTCTTCGGACCGAGTTTTTGGCTTTATACGCGACCTGTGGGTCATCGCTTGTCTGATGCGACCGGATCTACGACAACCCAGGTTCAGACTGGAGATCGTGTTCAATGAACCTTAACGACTTACCGCTGCTCAGGTGACTCGTATATTTTTTAAGGTATTTTTCATATGCTTAGCCCGAATTTATAGTGTTTTGAGAGACTTACTTTGTATTGTACAAACGCTACATGACATTTTGTCTGCTTGCTATCGCGTACAAAACAACTAGCCCGGTTAGATATACTGGATACGATGCATCTTAATCGTGAAGTTAGTTACTATTTCATATAAATTTACTGCAGGCTATGTGCGAATGTTGCTCGAGTGATTGCTTTTGTCGTGTCTGTGTTATTGCTTTTTGGTGTGTCCGTCAGAAAATCAAAATACTCTGCTTTCTGTGTCATGCTGCCTGTGCTTTTCAGTTCAGCTTTCACAAAGTGATTCTGCTGCAATATGTGGTAATCATGAGCTACGAGTGTTGACGGAACAGAAAGTGCTTGCCATGGTAGCTTATTAGAGCTTTAGAGTCTGCCAAGGCTATACTATTTTTGACTGAGCTGTTTGATTCGGACTTTCAGCTGACATTGAACAAGATCGCTCCCTGCTACACACCCAGAGTCATTGTTGATATATGGACGAAAATTATGTCCTAGTACGTAGGTGGCTCATGTGAGACTTGCATTTCGTCACTTGAGGTGCTTGTTACTTGCAACTGCTGCTATGGTGTTGCTGATGACTATAGCAGGCGTATACTTGTGAGCAAGCGCTTGATGTGAAAATACGCCTTTCTACGTTTTTTTTTTTTGTAATTAAGGCGCAGCCTTTCTTTCTCATGACTTGCTTTCACATCGTGTCACGCTGGCATGCAAGTGGGATACTCTGCCATTGCCAGCTACGCTGTTTCTCTAGGAGACTAAGGATTGTATTGTGCTCAAGATATTGTGTTGGTCTTAGTTTTAGCATGGTTTAGTATCGACTGTTATATAGTAGCATTTTGTTGCTGCTCCCTCTTTAGATAAGCAGATCCTTATGTTATTGACCAAAAGCACGCATTCTTTAACCCTCGCCGGCACAGGGGGGGGGGGGGGGGTTGATGCAACCCCCCCTAAGGTTTTTCGCGGATAACTCGCGTAAAAAGCGGCCGATCGCAACGAAACTTTCAGTACCCTCGCATTGATCAATTTTACACCTACCCTGAAAATTTCATGACCCTGACCCCAATGACCTTTGACCTGTGACCTCTTTTCTGTGACCATGTTTGGCCGAAATCGCGGTTCGGCGCATGTCGGCTCGCATTAGCCGCGCGTTTGCAAGCTTTTCGTGGTTTCAAACGTTCAAACATGTGATTTGATGTTGCTCCCATGCATTAGGGTGGGTGTCAAGGTCACCTGAAGGTCAGGTCAGGTCATTGACCTTTGGTGACCTCAGGTGACCTCGGTTCACTTTTTTGAGTTTTACAAGTTTCTAGGCTAGTTTCTGGAGCTGAATTCGAATTTAGCAACGATTTGAACATTTACGAAGTAGTTTTGGTGCCTTCGTAACATGTTACAAAGCTGTCCGAGGCGGTTGACACGTATTACGTATACCCGTCACAACCCCTACCGGTTGACCTGACCTGACCTGACCCGACCTGGTCTAAATGCTTAAAGACATCATCTCTGATCAAAATTAACACGATATTCGTGATCAGCACCCCGGAAAACCTCACAGCAGCCACAATTTACGACTTTCAACAGGTCCCGATTTTCCCGGTTTTCGGGTCATTGACCTGACCTGGAAGGTCACCCGATGACCTAGGACCTTAAAATTGGGTATCATCGGCTTCCTCTCGTGACGGGCAACACGCTCGTTTTTTCCGCGAAGCTCTAGCTCGATCAGGGGCCAAACGCGAGGGGGGGTCGTACCAACCCCCCCTTGTGCCGTCGAAGGACTCAAAATGGCCTGTGCCGGCGAGGGTTAAGTAAAGCTCTTCTTGTTTTTCCTCTCTTCACTGCATGTCCTTGGTTTGCTGTGTCTTTGTGAACCATTTCGCGCAACTACGCTCGATTTGCGGCTGTACGCTGACGGATATATGCGACAATAAGTGGTATTTACAATTATGTATTGGTATTAAAATTAATGGTATTTACAGTTAGTACTTAGTGCAGCAGCGTGTGTCCGCCCACCGGTGACCTCAGATGCGCCTTCCGTACACGGGTCAGCAGCGTGTCGCGCCGAGTTAGCGTGGGTACTCGCCCAGCGGGCCTCTCTCCGCTCCGTCGTGAGGCTGCCGCTAATGTCGTGCCTATATACCTACGCACAACCTGTGCTGTCTTATTTAGCCTACAGTGTATATCGTGGTGTGCGAAATATAGAAATATACAAACAGCCTGCTATAATTGTGTGGAAAACGAAGCCAAGTGCTCGTTTCCTTTTCCTTCGATTGTTAAGTATTTTCTGAGGTCTTGTAATGGGTAGGCGTTTCGCTTGCTCCGAGACATGTGGAGTACGTCGCCAGCCTCACATATACGGTGCTTATGCCGTACTGTTAACAATAATTGAGAAAGCTAACTTCCGTGGTAAAATGGTAATGTGAAAAAGAGAGTAAGAATGTTACCACGACTTAGTATCTATGACCGTGCCACGACTATGTTACCCAGTACCGCTATCACAACCCCCATGCAGAAAAGAGGTTACACAGTCGAATCCTACTCGCATGTCCACGCATACAATGTACGTTTTCGTGCGAGGAGCAGGGTCATTATTCGGCGAAGCAATGAACATTTTCTTTTACACCACTCTTTCGGGACTTCTCCGTTTACACCTTAGTGGGCACACCGATGGTTCGGCGAAAATTGATTTCGCTCTTTTATAACCCATCTCAATTAACCATCGGAATAAATGCATGAACGGCGCAAAGCATCGCATGTAAATTAAATTTCGTCTAGGCTAACAACGCAATTCAGTTCACGGCTGAGAATTTCTGTGCGGCCGATGAACCGACGGGGCTTCAGATCCAGCAGCTTGCGTCGTAGCTCCCAATATAGCAACTGAACCGCACAGTCGATAAAAGAAATAGCGAACCGCCTAGTGCGCAACAAAGAACTCCCCACGCCAGGATGAGCCTCTTCTCTGGGAGACGTTTTCCAATACAGTTACGTGCGTGTGGAGTGCGATGCGTTTGAAGGGTTCGTCACTACCATCAGAAGCCCGACGTGATGCTGAGTGGTCTAAGGGCAGTGAGCGAATCTCGTATCTCATATCAAAGCTTCTCATAGTGGTGAAAGGCCGTTCAATGCTCATAAGGCCCTGCAAAAGTTACGTTATTTGTATCATTGTCGCTGGTCGATCATCAAATGAAAGCATCTCGGAATGCTCCAAAGTTATATTTCAATGACCTGAGATAAAATGGAAATGCTACCATGACGGCTCCGTTTTTTTTTTTTTGTAAACAAGTTGGGGGAAATGTTAGCATAGCAGCTTTGCCAATTTGGTCATGTCCAGGCGCATCGATCCTTTTTTACATTAGATTGGGTGTTGACCTCAGGAGGTCAAGTCCAGGCTAAAGCCGGTCAGGTGAGAGCGTTTGTGTCAATTTTTAGTAAAAGCATTTCAGGTGTGCCTAAAATTTACCGGCGTCCTTCTGAAGGCCAAACCTTTAACCTTGGGTCAACTCTGAGACAAGTCACCGGAAGAGCTGTGAAAGAGCTATCGAATGATTTCCCCGCGGTGTTTTGGCTCTGGTAAAAATATTTGAAAGTTACGATGACTTGGGAACTCGGGAGCTTGGTTCTTTCAGCAGTTTCATCCCCCTTCCAAAAATTCCCTTGCCCTGAGAGTGTTAACCCGCCCCTGATGGGGGGGGGGCATTTTGGCCCCCCCCTGTGGTTTTTCTTAAATAGCGAGAAAACGGCGGCGCGCAGCGCCGCCAAATTTTGGGTACCTTACCGGGCATCAATTTGACACCTTCACACAAAATTTCAAGTCACAGGTCACCTCAGGTCAGGAGTTATTGAGGTCAAACTGAGGTCATGTTCGAGTAAAAATGAGCAAAAAACATGACATCTTGAAACGCTCACCAATTCTACAGTTAACAAGCAATTTTAAAGTTCTTTATGTGGTTGTGTAGAGAAAAGACGGCGCTACAAAACTGCTATCTCGGATTTTCGAAATTTTTGGATTTTGACCCCTAAAAATAAAAAAAATGATTTTTTTAGAAAAACTAAAAAAAAATCCAATTTTTTTCGAATTTCGAAAAAACCGGAATATATGTGATAGTCCCTGCGCTCTTCCATATACATACCAAATTTTAGATCGATACCTCTTTTTTTGGCCAAGTTATAGCGGAAAAACTGTTAAAAATTGATGACGTCAAATTTTTGAACTCAATTTTTAGCAATTCTAGACCTTGTAGCGCAAAACGGAGACCACCATTGAACTCCCCGTGACGAACTGCATCGAATCGATACCCATTTTATGCAAAAATATCAACTTTGAAATTTGACCTAATTTGACCTGACCTTGACCTGACCTTGACCTGACCTGGACCAAAACGTGACCTAAGCTGGCCCTAAAGTCTGTCTGACCCACATAATCGCATTTGTCATGTAAAATGGACCATAAAACATGTATCACACGACACTTTCATATTGTGACCCCCCAGTGACCTGACCTCTGTGACCTGACCTGGTATCAGTGACCTCAAATAGCAAAATATGTGTTTGAAGAACATTTCCCCATCGATGATTTTCAATGAAATGCATTTTACACGATTTTACAACGCATTTCTTGAAATGCCTGTAAACGGTGAAAATTCGACCTTTGACCTGACCTGTGACGTCATCGGTTTGACCGAGGTCAATGAAATTGGGTCACAAGGTAGTTCCCCGTAGGGCTACCCTACGGGCTTGGCCCTACCCCCCGTAGGGGGGGGGGGGTAGGGCCAAAATGCCCCCCCCCCCCCCCATCAGACCGCGTTGCTCGGCAGACCCCATCTGGGCGCGGGTTAAGCCAATTTGTGGAATTTGTGGACCATGCGGAGATCCACGTATGAGTATGGGGTGCCCGTTACCGTAACCCGACCTGACCCAAGGTCCCAAAGATGAGGAAAGTTCTGACGGATCTGGAGCAAATCAAAGTTTTAGTGTGCCAAGTTTCAGCTCTCTCCATGGGGCTTCCGGACGCGGAAACAGGCCCCCTCGCTCGGCTGAGGGAACAATTTGGATTAAACCTTTCGGACAAGAAGATATGGCGAATTTGTTTATGTGCACTTCTTTGGGTTTCCTTTCACATTTCCTTTACTTGGACCTGGTATATTTAATGTATTTTGATATTGAATTGGCTGATCAAAATGTATCTCAATCTCATAGGTATTCAATTGTTTTACGTGCTGCGAAGTACGAACGATGTAGCATGGATAACAGCATATTGGCATAGCTATGGTATTATCTTTAACCCGCGCCCCGTACCCAGCCAGCAATTCACTTGGGCTGAACTGTGGCAAACGTCGGGCAGCTTGGGCTTAGCTTTGGTTTGCCTACTTTGATCAAAACCAATGTATTTTTTACTAGGGCTGAGCTTGGGCATGCCGCAGCTATGCCCACGTGCGGATAGCAGTAGCTCAGCCCGACATCTGCCCACGCATCCAAAACAGGCTTAACTTGGGCGGAGCGCGGGCTGATCAAGCTGGCTGTGTCCTTCGGCTAACTGGAGTAAAGCCGGAGTTAAGCCATACTTGTTCGGCTGTTCGCGCATGCGCAGTTCTGCGCCAATTATGTGCAGCGTTTGTGACAGTCTGCGCGCTGTGCGACGAAACGACACACCGCGGTGTTTGGGCATTTGGTGGTTGATGTTTGGGCGCGTGTGACAGCGCGAAGAACGGATAGTGCTCATTGCTCTTATCAAGTGGACTGGCATGGAGTTTTACGGTAGGTAATTGTATTGAATGGTGCGCTTGATCGTATGTAAACGTCATTATTTTGACTGAGTTTCACGCCATCAAACATGAAGCTGAATAGCTGTTCAGCCTGGCGACTTTACTCTCGCTCAGAAAAGCCGCATTCCGTGCCTTTATGTATATCTTTGTGAAATACCAGCACTTCTGAACCAGGAAAATGAAATACAAAACACAAATATTTATCTACTTATCACCGAGCACGCTCATTCTCTGTCCGCGTTGAAAAATTCGAATGAATATTTTATACGGATCAATGAAAAGTGCTGTTACAGTATTAATGCAACAATAAGTTATTTTTCAAGCAAACATGCAATGTAAATTAAACCAATTGATCTCTTTTTCAGGTACGTACCATTAGAGCAAATTGTTCCAAAAAAATGGAATAGTTATACAAACCAGGACCGGGTGGACGCCGCTGTCGCCCTCGCCAAGTGGTTTAGCGGAAACTGCCTGCTTATAATTAAGTAGGTGTACCTACATATACGGAAACTGCGCCGAAAGCTGGCTGACCACCTACTGCAGATGTGTGTGTGTGGAGGAGCCAGACGCCTCCAAAGCTCCCATTCACCAGAGTGAAGTTCTTTATAAACGATTGGTTGCTAATTGCTTTATGTCTTATGAGCGATTACTTGCTGTCCTTACTTTATGCGTTCGGTTAAAGGGACCCTCCCACCTTCAAAAAAGTTAATGGATTGGCATGAAAGTGATGTCGCTCGGTACAGAAAGAGCAAAAACGAATATCTACCAAATTTCATCTAAAAATATTCACCGGTTTTCAAGATATTAGACTTTTACTTTTGTTTACTTTTTTAGGATCTCCGCTGTTTCTAGCGACTTTATTTTAGAAGTGCGGCGTTTGCGGCAGATGTTGCGCGCAAATATCATATACCACCGCGTGCTACAAAACGTTTTAGTCAAACATTTAAAAATCGTTAGATATTTGCGCTGACGTCACACATTCAGAGGGGTATTCCTAAGCATTAGCCCCTCTGAATCAAAATGCTGCAATTTTGAAATTCAATATTTCCGATTTAAGGCATTTCTCGATGTTGTGAGTGCCAAAACCGGTAATTGTGAGCCAGGGACCCCATTTTGGCTATCTCAACTCAAATCTAATGTTAAGGTGGGAGGGTCCCTTTAAGTGTTCAACCAAGTATTATGAACGCCGAACGGGGAGGAAGGCTAGCGGGTCTTGTGATTGATTTATAGTTTTGATGGCGCTTTTTCATGACTCATGCCATATTATTGCTGCAGTTTGCAGTCCACTGTTTCATGTATTTGTGTTTCATTTGACGTGTCTGTAGTCGTTTGAAATAAACATTCAATCAAAGTCAGCCACTACTTTCCTTTCGAAATGCTCGATGACCGGTTAACAGAGCATATGAGTGACCGTATAGCAATTTTAAATATGCATTAAAACCACACAACCTGCTGAAAGTGCAT